AGAATTACCTTATGAAATTAAACTATTTATTTGTTAACGGGTGAGCGACATTGATCTTCCCTTGCATTTGTGTAACAGTACTTTTAGCAATTTAAATGTTAATTGTAAATTGTTTCGTCATTTTGCAATGCCGGAATTTAATCAATTGTATTAGGATTTTATGAACAGTGGGTGTATTCTGTTTTCGCGAGCTGACAATCGTTATCGATGATGGCTTGCAAATGCAAGATAATGGCGTATCAGGTTTATTAAACTTGTGGTGGTAGCTGGTAATATGAAACTAAGAAATGTCAGTTTGTGCTTGAAATATACAATTGTTTTCAACTAACTGGCGTCATATACAGGTAAAATCTTACATAAATAGTAGAACATAAATGAGTATGGCATGCAGTACATAACAACCTTTTCGAATATCAATATAAAAGGCTGCAGGTTCATTTAACTTATTTTCCACATAAATAATTATACATTTTTCGTATAATTCTATCTTCATAATATTCCTTTTACGTATGTACCCTTCAATGTAATTTGTTACATCAATGGTTCATTAATTTTGTGTTTGCCTAATACTACAAAATTAATTGTTAAGCCTTATCAGCTCGAAGGATCTCCTGGGTCTCCTTCAAGTAGTACAAGATTAAAGACTGAGCAATCACGAAAACGTTTTCTTATTCATGTATGTACATAAATCGAATAAATATTATTGTTTGTACCCTTTAATATAATTTATTACATCATTGCTTAATTAATTTAGCATGTGACTGATATTACAAAATTAATTGTTACGTTTTATCGATCAGCTCGAAGAGTCTCCTGGGCGGTTGTCTCGAGTATCAGGGGTCCACGAAGGGTTGGAAGGTTGTAGCTAATATTCATTACTCTTTACATTTAAAATAAATAGTTTACATATTCTTGATAAATTCTGTACTAACTTCACGTATGGTTGGCGTTTCGTAGACAACCGTGACATATGAAATGTTACACTATTTTAATATTAATATTATTCACTGATAATGAAGTAATGTACGAAGTACGAGGTAACGTATAATCAAAACCTGGTTTATTAGGAGAATATCGCGGAATATCGATTAAACATATGTATAGATATGGATATATTACACGCCTTTTAACATTTTTCTATATGAATCAAACTCATTACTTAAAATAAGTTCATGGAACATGTGGCCCTTTATTACCAACGTACCGATATGCCAAATTTTGATTAGTGTTGGTTTCTTAATAAATGAGTGGTGAATATTTTTGAGGGCCAACTTATTTACACATGCTTCAAACGATAGTCTACAATCATAGTAAAAAATGTATATTAATGCAGGAAAAGTTCTGCATAGTTTTAATTTGCCAAAATAAATATGAGAAACGAAAAATAAATACCAGGTGGATGCAGGAAGTTGTTTAACTGATTATTTAGTCAAATAATCAGTTATAAATAAAATATTTCAATTTGACAAATATGGTATAATTGCTTTTAGTGAACGCCAGCAATATTTATTAGTCAAAATATGGCTGTTCTTACATAATTAAAATTGTTTCCTTCTATTTTAACAAATCTCCTCGGGTAAAACCAATTAATTTGTTAGTAACCTATTATAGTAGGTAATTAATGTCACTGTAAACAACCACACAAGAAAAGAACAACCAAATAATTTAGTCCTATTCTTTAGGTTCGAACTAAAAAAATTGAAGTGACAAAGTTTAAGACTGAGCAATGACGACGAATTTTTTGTATCCAGCTATTTACATTATTCATTTATTTGTTGTTAACAAAAAGCTTATTAATTTCTTTTTAATTTCAATCCATATTTGTTACGCGAATTTACAAAATCACCAATTGTGTTACAACCAGATCATGCAATGTTGTGCAGAGTTTCACTAAATAAAGCAGTGTTTATGTCTGTCTACCATATTTTAGTATACAGGGTGCAGCAAAATTCGTGGTACAATCGAGAACGCGATGATTCCTCGTGTAAAAATAGGTTAAAATTGGGAAATCAATTTTTCACATCCAAGATTTCGTTTTCGAGAAACATCAAATCGAAGACGTTCCTGTTGAATTGGCTGTGGTTATACCTTGGCCACCAAGGTGTCCAGACCTTATTCCACTTGACTTTCATTCGCGGGGACATGTAAAGTCTTTATTTTATACTTCAGATAGTGTAAATGTTGGTCAATTAAAGAAACAAATTAGAATATCATTTGAACACTTTGAAATTGAACTATACATAAGCCAAGGTTTCGTGAACCAATCAATAGAACAGCACAATTATGTGTTCAGCAGTGAAGTTCTAACATTTTCGAAATATTTTCGTTAACAAATTAAGGAGCGTATATGTATACAATGTATCTACCACTAGACGAGTAAAAGTCTGTCCATAATCAGACAAGTCGTGCCAAAGTGAGTGCATGTATACACGATGAAATTTCCAAGGGATACCTCTCGAAAACAGAGCCTTCGTATGAAGACAATATTAACGTACAATTTTAACTTCTTTTTACACGAGGAGTTACCTTGTATTCGCTTGCACAGCGAATTTCACTGGACCCTGTACAAACACAGAATGTCGTAAGGAGAATTTCAACGCGTCCTAATCCGGCGTGAGAACATCTAATCTTAGTTCGGTGAATCTATCATTTATCTAATTATAGTGTCGCCTTATATGGCATACATACGTATCACGTATTACGTAGTATTAGCGTCGACGTAGGACGCGTACCTTACGTCGACTTCATTCACTAGTTTTTTGCGCTTTCGTCTGTACGCTAAGCTTAAACGGGAAACTATTGACCGTCCTGACGTCAGTTTTTCGTACGGCCTCCTTACGTCCGCGTCAGTTTTCGTGAGTGGCGAGACACGGCCACAAAATGTAAGCTGTATCAGCAAAAATATCTGCCCCGTGACTGCTCGAAATTTTCATGCACCTTTTTATGTAGATACACAAATTTATTCTGGAAATTTTACTCTTTCCAGGTAATACTAAAACGTTTAAAAGATTCAGCTACCGGATTATTTTTATTTATACCTTCTGCGAGCTTACGGTCGATGTTTAGGAAGTAAATTTGTTCGGATTCGATACGATGATTCAGAATTACTATGTCTCTCTGATATTTACTACAGAACCTACGTTATATCCCGACGATGGTTCGTGAATGTTGACGGTAATCCTATCAAACAGATTAGATCACCGATAAACGCCACGCACGCAAACGGACCACGCATACGCGAGTATTTGACACCTCGCGAGCTGGCATTCCCAATTGAATCATAATGCAAATAGAGCGATGTTTGTTTCTGTCCGGTGTACGAGACCCTCCGTAAGACTTCTGACGGTACCGAAAAGCTGCACTTCCGATGAGCTTGCGAGCGCCATAAACGTACGTGCGATCGCAGGTATCGGCCGTTTTTCACGGAAAATCGAAATCGTCGGTACACAAACGTGGGAATTCGCGAAATTTGTGATGTCTAACCAATAAGTATTATTCGCGTTCACCCGAACACGTCATTCAGATAAATTTGGATGTGGATATAGTTGTGCTGCACTCGCCAAAAAGATGCGCAAAATCAGAAAATTTTCTTATGCAATATGATTATCGCTAGACTGCGAATGTTGATGCATTTATAGCATCTCTTAACTTGGAAAATCCAATAAGATAACAGTTTTGATGCAGTTTAAGAGGAGTTAGGTGTTTTATCATTAATGTAGTGAAGTTTCTAGTACAGAATTCAAAATTCTGCTCCATTGTAATTTTTAGATATTGGTATCGGAGATGCTGCATTTCCGTAGACTTCAATAGCTTAATTATCACCAGTGCGCATTTCCATTTCTAATCTCGTTAAAACCGAGTCAATTTTAGTTTTTCTTAAAGCATTTGAGTATACTTTCTAAAACGAATTCGTTAAGGCAACAAATTTTCTTTATCTAAGATCTTTCGTTTATAACAATATTACGGCACTATTTAACACTCGTGCACTGTTCAATAAATTATTGCATTAGTATTCCTTGAATTAAACGTGGTTTAACCTAAAATCGAATTGAGGACATATATTTACATGACGTTTTATCGTTATTATCTAAACTACTGGTGTGAAATTAATTTACAAGCTTCTCTGACAATGACTGTAATTAAAAGTCAAAGTCTGAGTTCCAGTGACATTGACCCGAACAGTGTACGAGGGTCAAGAACATTAAAGAATTAATACAAACAACAATGAATAAAGTTTCTTTTGAAGGGTAACATGTGTAACGCAATATTATTTAACGGTAAAATGCAAAATAGGGGGAGATAATCTACGCAGCGCTGTGGAAACTGGGATCAAGTCAAAAATTTGTTCGTTACTGAAAATCGTTAAGATTATTCATGAATCACAGAAAGTGGTGCCTACACAAAAATGTATTTGGATCCATTTTTATTTATATATTTACTCGAATTTCGGCAATGCCCTTTACAATGTATTTATAGCAACAGGAACATGATTATAACGATCGTTACATTTCATGATATGATACACCTAATCAGTCGCAGATTGCAAGGCTGTAAATAACGCGGCGTTTATTGCAACAGGCGTCGCCTAATTGTACAGTTTGTAAACATTAATGCAGCAATTATTCGAAAGACGCGGGTCGTCCGTTGTTTGAATTATGAATCAACCGAGCTGCGCGGCATAGATTTTCAAAAAATCCGCTACGAAATAGAAGGCTCGCCCGTTGATTACGTAGCGCTTCACCAGAGCGGCGAAAAACTCTGGACAAAATATAAGCTGCCACCCCACCGTCGAACGTGCGTACGTACGTTCGATTGTTTACACAATGCCATATATAAGCTGGAAGCACGAGAGTTTGACAATCTCAGTTCACTATCTCACGCCAATCGCTAACATCGTCTTAGCGAAACAGTTCGTTCCGTTTTAACGGGCAGTTCCGTGCACAAGATACGATTAGTGTCAATTCCGTTGGTGTTTGTGCGAATTTAGTCGAACTACGAAAATGTTCGTTTCGCGTTGTTGCCTGTTCACGTTCGTCCTGGTTGTTGTATCCGGCGCTCCAAGGAGATCACCTAGATCGACCGTGCCGGTCTGGCATTCGCCGTGCGGCGATGAAAGCGAAACGGAAGCCGCGGCGTTCACGAATCTCAACGAGGAAGTGGAAACTAGTCTGAAAAGTCTGAAGCTACAGCACAAAATGACGATGGACGAATACTTGAATCGGGACTACGATTACCTGTACGAAAGGGTACGGATCGGTGTTCACGAGCATCAGTACATCCCCAACTGGATCCCAGGCAAGAAAGATGTGAACATGATCAAGAGGCTGGTCAACGCCAAGCCGCAAATGGTAAGTTTATCCCGTGTTTGTAACCCTATAGACTCTCGTGGTTAATTTTCCTGCCTCTCGCGGTAGTGGTTCTGGCATTACTTTTGAATGTCATACACGTCGCAGGCTTGTTAAAGTATTAGGTTGGTGCACTAGAAATGTTATTTTTTCGAAAGGTTCTATTTTATAAACGATATAAATTAATAACCTCGCTATTATTTTATATTACACAGTATGTAGAAAATAGTATTTTGTAAGAAATACGTATTTGAATAATGATTGTAAAAAATTTTGGAATATTCGAGAATATAGAAATTTATTATATCTAATCGTTTACTACTTAACTACGTTAGTATATCAATTTTTCAATATTCTTAACAAAAAGAAATTTATACTTTGGCTTTTACCGAATTGACATGAAATATTCTAAATAGTGGAAGTAGGTACTATTAAAATCATACAAGGAGTATCTCGCTTATCCATCTTAAAATTTAAAAAGAATCGCCTTACGCCGAACTTGAACTAACATAGGCAATATTTTATGCGCAACTTCGTAATACATACTATTGCACTTGTTTCTCTCGCCACAGAAAAAGAGTTCGAATATTCCCGAATATTATTTATATTAATTTCTAAAAATCCCCAAAAAAAGTTTGTAAATAAGGAATCTACCTCAGTAGAATTGTTTCGACTGATAAGAAGAAAAAGCTGCGGGTCCCATTTGTGGATGATCTCATTGAACTTCCTTGAGGTTATAATCGTCCTTTGTGCGGCGACGATTAAGAATGCGATGGATGGAGTCGCGCGCAATTTCAGTTCGCGACCAGTTGACCAAATTCGTCGTTGCAATTAATTAACGCAACGTTAAATAACAAATTTTAATGAGACGGTAATTATTATAAAGTAGCAGGCGAACAGAAGCGTGCTAGGTTGTTCGGGGTTTGCGCGCGCAATGCAGGTCCAAGGTACATACCGCTCATGTTAGCCGGGTCGCGCGACTGCGTAATCACGCTTGTCGTTCGCCGCGATGCGTGCACTCTGATAACGCACCCGTGATAATATCCGTGGTATACTCCCTGATATTTACACTTCCCCTCTCTCCTACGCCGCTCTCTAAAGTCATTCTGCATCAGCACGTTCCTCCGACACCACGGTCCTTGACACATTGCACAGACATTCTCCTACTGTTAGAAGCGAGTTCTATTAACGATTAAAGATTAATTTCATGTTTTAATCATTTAATGAAAGTGTGATATAGATAGTGATGATAAAAACGTTTCGTGCAGTATGCAGAATATTTTGGAAGTAGTCTTCTTCGAATTTACAGTTCTGTTTTGTATTAAATCGCCCATAAGTGATAATATGGTAATAGGAGCAAGTGGTATATCGTGTTGACTAAATCTTTGCTGTAGACTATACTATCTAAACCACCTGTATTAAGCCTAGGCAGTGGACTGCTAATCGAAATTGTAATTCTGTAAGGATTTAGACACCATTCGATTGTACACTACATATTATAGTAAAGTAAAATATATATGTTGGTAGTAATATTCATATCGATTTACATACTTAAATTCACACGTATATAATTATAAAAATATTAAATCCCTTTTAATAATTCTATATCGACTTCTAATCGTCGTTTACGATTTTTTTTGAGTTATTGAATTAGAAAGTATAAACGTCTGAAAAACTATTCTGGTTTTACTTACTTTAGATATTTGAAGATATTTGTTACTTTCTGATGTTAAAATGAATATATAAAATACATGTACTTTCAATTCAGAAACATCTGGTAGAAATCAGATGGTTCAATGATCCGTTATTGCTTAAAGTTCCTGGCGAGAGTTATAATTGCGATTAGCTGCATTCACGACTGTGTTGTCGTTCGTGTCATATCGCGCACGCCTGACGCCACCTTGAATCACCGACAGAAATAACAGAACGACGATTTGTCTTACAGATCGCTAACCACTTCCCCAAGTTACACGTGGACCTGCAGAAATTCGCTGTTGCGTTCGAGGAACTGGTGGAGGACGAGACGAACTCGAGGATCCACGATGCTCTGAAACTGACGCAATCCTATTTAATGATGATGCTGTGCGAGGTTGAAAGCCATATCGTTACTCTGCCATCCCTTCGAATTCCATTGCGAGTAGAAAGGAGCATCATGAGCAGCACGGAAAGGGAACCCATCGATGACACCAGAAGACTCGTCCGCGACTGGGGCGTGCTTCTCAAGTACAGGGACTATCTGCACGCCTGGAGGCACGTTTTTAATTACTAGAAAGTATGTATTAGGGAAAATTGTATCGTGTGGTATCCGCGTGCGAAAATGAAGCGCGACGTGTCCATGATTTTGCATGACACCATCGACGAAAACGATGCAAATTGATTTCGAATGCATCGATGTAAATTGATTTAGCACCTATCGCCGTGCAATTGCTACGAGTCGTGGAGACGTGTCACAACATATATGACTAGCACAACAGCTGTCAAAGTCATTCGTGATAATCGCGTGAGATAATCCGAGCATTGCGAAACGAGCCTGGCCGATATCGCCGGTGATTTTACTTATTTATTCACGAAATTATTTATTACGGTCACTAATCATTGGAGATAGTATTTATTATTTAATTCCTGGACATTGGAACTATTTATTTTAAATATTAGCTATTTATTGAAAACCATGGTACCTTCTTCGTCTGCCTTTAGAAAGGTGATATATGACATGTGATATATTCTTCGAGAAAATTATTTTGTATATTCCTGACGAGCGATCACTATTAGTAAATAGGTATTTATGAAAGACAATAATTGTAATAAAGTAATATTTATTTTATGCAGTATTATAGAACAAATGTTTATATTGTATATACCGAATAATGTATTTATACATATTATAATTAATAATTTATTATCAAATTTTGTAATATAATTCGTAATTTAAACAAATGTACGATGTATTATATTTTATAAATCCTTCATTCCCACTGTTGTACCTGTCGAGCACGTGCACTCGCGTGATAAGTCATATGTGGTTTCTAATCCTAGGTTGTGTCATATCGCGAATTCTTCTCGAAGCGTCGCGTCGTGTTCTTGTTGTTATGTCGTTATGACTATATTATAACGCCCGCTGAATTTGAACTTCGCGAAAGAATAGCGTTTGCAACGTATTGTATTTATTGTACATTCAAATTATTTTTTCCCCTTCATACGGTCAAACGTATTGATTTTCTCATGGGATCATATAAGCAGTCGAATTTCGTTAGCATCTTATTTAGAAAAAACGCATTCGACGTTTGTGTAAGTTTTTATGTTATTGGATCTCCAAGTAGATTTTCGTCAATGAATTTATCGGAGTCTTTTGCTATATTTTCATATGTCCTGATCCTTCATCATATTAATATGACAGATTCAATATTAATGCATTTTATTTTTGTCAAGTCTAAACTTAGGTTCACAATATTTTAGTACAAAGCATAAGGTACTAACTGATTTCCATTTACATCTATTTTCGCATACTTTTTTTTCATTTTCTTTCTACATTATAAATGTAGTATTATTATGAATTTATTTACATTATATAAAAGATTCTCATTTTTTATATTTTCAATGTTGCATTTGGTAAGTTGTAAAAATTTCGAAAATTATGTTAACTGTAAATGAATATACTACGTGAGTGGATTGCAATCAGAACCCCCTAAAATTTAACATTCCCGGCCCCCATTATTTTTACTGCTTCCGTCACGCCCCTCCGCTGCACTGGGTCTTTTATATCCAGACCTATTTTTCTATCTTATAGGCTCCCAAAAAATCTGAATAAATTCGAGAATACTTTCCAGGGTCTCTACTCCATGATCCAAAAGTTTTTAAAGTTTTTTTAATAATAGTCTTTTCGATCGTTTTGTAAATATTTTACCGCGAAATTTCGCTTGTGCCATGAAAGACCCAGGAAAGTCACAGAGGCTTAAAAGACAAATATTTCAAACACTTCCCTGAGCAAGCAATTCTGCCAGAAACCAGAAGCATAAAATCGTCGATATTATAAATGTGTAAGAAATTGTATTATAACGCAAGCAACTATATATTATATATAACTCATATTATATTTATCAATTACATCGCCGAAGACTTTTATCCCTAAACTCTTCCTTCCAAAACGCACAATCAATTCAGTAGATCTAGTCTTTTTACCGGGGACGCCGATAAAATCATTGAATCATTTCAGAAATATTTGTTGTACATACCTATGTTTGACAATATTTTGAAGTCCCGGATCGTTATCGCTCATACATTATAAAATCTTAAATTTTTTGCAGCATTAATATAAGTGGAAATAACTACACAGATATTACTGTACATCCAAATGGCGTCCGTTTCATGTTCTATTTCAATCCGAATGTCCTACTTCCATTTTGAAATTAAACTTCTTCTCAGAACTTAAATTTCGGATGTTCTACAAACGTCCACCCTCTGAAAGTCTTACGAATGTTCGCAGGCTATAAATTACAGATGGTTTCGTTTAGTAATTTTGGCTCCATTTCATTCCGTGAAAGGTGATGGATCCCCATAAGCAAGGTGTCATTCTTTAGAGAATCAATAGAGAAGTGTAACGATACTACCCAGATAGCACACGAACGTCATATGTACGTCAAGAGAACGTACATTCGGAGGATGTCCCAAAAAGGTCCACATGTCCCCCGTACGTACTCGTTAAGATTTTTAAATGCCTTAGGAAGGACCTATTTACAAAGTGGAATGTCCCGCGAACGTCCTGTGTCAACATTTTCAGAACGTTTGCCGAGTATGTAAAAATAACTTGTACTTTTGGGGACTTTTTGGGAACGTTTAAAGAGTTTTTAAAAACGCTATGGTAATGTCTTGAAAGGCGTGTATGAAACGTTGCTCAAATATTTAAAAGTACGGTTAAATATTATTTTGTGCAAGGTGATAGAAGGTAGGTTAGATTGATTTTATTTGTTGAATAAATAAAAGATCAACTTTCCTGCGATTTCTGCATTTAATAAAAAGTAGATCAAATTAGTTCCTGTTAATAAATAAAACGTTAAATTTCCTGTAAGGAATTATAATGAAAATATAGGTCTGGGGGTTATGTTCTGTGTATACATTGTGTTTATTTTTATTTTCAAAGCAAAATACTGATTCTGTGTTGGTTATAGGCAATTTAAAGACAAAAATATTTTTCCAAATTTCCTAAGATTTCAGCACAAAACCACTAGTGTTGTTACACTTCTCTATTGATTCTCTAAAGAATCACACCCTGCTCGTGGGGTTCCATCACATTGCACGAAATGACATTGAACCAAAATTACTAAACGAAACCATCCGAAATTAAAATCCTACAAACATTCGTAAGACTTAGAGAAACGGACGGTCCTAGAACATACGAAATTAAGTCTTGGGAAGATTCGTAGGACTTCCGATACGGACGTTTCCAGAACATCCGAAATTTAAGTCGTGAGAACATTCGTAAGTCTTTCAGGACGGATGTTTCTAGAACATCCGAAATTTAAATCTTACGAACGTCCTAGGGATGTCCAAAATGGACGTAGGATATTCGGATATAAACTGGCCATGAAACAGACGTCCTTTGGATATACGGTGCTACCTGGGTGGACAGTGGTCTTGTGCGGATACCTCAGGAAATTTAAAAAACATTTTTTTTCCTAAATTGTCTCTAACCATACAGAATCAGTGATTTGTTATCTTTAACTGTCTCTAACCAACACACAATCAGTATTTTGCCTTGAACATAAAAATAAACACAATATACACACAGATCATAATTTCTAGACCTATATTTTCATTATAATTCCTTATGGGAAATTTACTCTTTTATTTATTAACAGCAACTATTTTCTACTAAGTGCGGAACTCGCAGGAAAGTTAATTTTTTATGTATGCGACACAAACCAACGTAACTTACATTCTATGTATTACCTTGCACAGAATGAAATCTAATCGTAACTTTAAACATTTGGGAAATGTTTCTTATACATCTTTTAAGACATTACCATAGCGTTTTAAAAACTCTTTAAAAGTTCCCAAAAAGTACAGACAATGTTACTTTTACACATTCGGAAAACGTTTCGAGAATATTGACATAGGACGTCCTTAGGACGTTCCACTTTGTAAATAGGACCTTCCTAGGACATTTAACTATCTTAACGAGAACTTAGGGAGTACAATGTGGACCTTTTCGGGACATCTTCCGCATGTACCGAACGTCTGGAACATACGTTTTCCGGACGTACAAATGACGTCTTTGTACTACTTGGATAGTAACGGACAGACACTTTAGCTAAAAGAATACATACACAGATATACGTGCTTTGAGTAAGCTTTTAACACTAGGTTTACGGGCACTTATCGTGTAGGTATCTCCACGGCACGCATCAACGAACCCGCAGATTTTCTTTAAAAAACAACTTATTTTATATAATACACAATTTATGATGTCTGAAATTAATGCATAGCTATAGAGATAGGTATACCACATAGAGAATTTCAAGGTTAGATAGCATTCGAAATGCGTCAAAATGACGCGTCCCGTGAACCTTCATTCGATTGAATGAAAAATAAAATATATGGCCCGTTTTCCCTTTAGCGGCCAGAAAGAAAGGTGATACTTATGAATTTTTTTTTAAAGAAAGCCAAGAAGATATGGTGAAGACCTTCGTCGCCTTTATTTATTATACATACAAGTAAATAAAAAAATTTTATTTCAATATTCTTGCATTGTAGTTGACGCTAATCGTGTCGATCCGAAAACAAACGGTACCCATTACATATAATGTAAGAAGTTATTAACCGATTTTTGTAATTCTTGTGGCATTCGTTTTGTAATTGAATCAGTTATCACATGACTTACTACTCAAAATTTTGAAGCGTAGGTACATTATTTTGAGATTCATATCTCTTCATTATGTTCATAATTACATCTCTTAGTCAAAACTCATACCAAATAATGCGGCCATTTTAGTTTTCCTACTTGATGATGCATCATACGATTGACGTTGGAGTAACATTCAATAATCTTTTTGAAATTTTCATTTCGAACTACATATGTACTCTACATCAAGATATTGTAGACACCGTTTGTACAGTACAATTTAGAATCAACACGATTAGCGCCACCTACAATTTCCCACGCTGCACGAATATTGAAACAAAAAGTTTATTATTTCTTTTCTACATTCTTTTAAAAAAATTCGTAAATGTCACCTTTTTTCAGGCCGTTAAAGGGGACAGGAGGCTTAATAT